ATATATATCCAGATTATAACAAGGATCTCATACGACTTCAAATAACAGGGGCTGGAGAGATGATTCAGTGATGAAGAGCACTGGCATTCTTCCAGAGGACCCAGGTTTGATGCCCAGCACCTACATGGCAGATAATAACCTTCTATAACTCCAGTTCCAGGAAATCTTATGCCCTCTTCTGACCTCTGCAGGTATTGCACACCCACAGTGCACTTACACATACAGGCAAAACAGTCACACACATAAAATAAAATATGGGGCTAGAGAGATGACTCAGCCATTAAGAGCACTGGCTGCTCTTACAGAGGATCCAAGTTCAATTCCCAGCACCCACACGGAGGTGAACAATCATATATAACTACAGTTACAGTGGATCTGAAACCTTGTTCTGACCTCTGTGGGCATTGCAGGACAGGGCTACACTTACACATATGCAGGCAATACATTTATACACAAGAAAAAGAAGTTAAATAACAAAGTCTTCTATCTGTAACTGCACTGAAAATACATAAGCACCATGATGTTTTTTAAAAAAATACTAGATTTTTGTACATTTCTTAATGGAATTTAGATCCCCTCCCCTATCCATGCCTCCCAACCCCCGACTGGACCTCATGCATTCTGTCACGCATGTTAAGTCTTATCCAGTCAAGCATTTGTACTCAGATGTCCTTCAGTGCAAACTGTCAATGGCGGCATCAAGCACATGACCCATGCCAACTCAATCAGACAAGGGCTTAGAGTGGAGCGAGAGAAGCGGGTGGCGGGCTGGCCCTAGAATGGGAATTACTAGAGACTGATTACTACTGGGTGAAGGAGAGTAAGCCTTACTTAAGTATCATGATTTTTTAGTGTTAAAATTTATTTTATATCTCTAAATAATTTAGTATAATCTATAAATGTGGGTAATATATTGATCAATTAAATATATTAAATAATGTCATATAAATATTTAAGTCTTCCCAGTGGTGGATATTCCAGAACTTAAATCCAATGTATCTGAATGGTTCATCAAATTTACTACAAATGAATAATTTTTACTTAATCTTTTCCCTCAATAAATACAGACTATTATTTAGATTATTTCTATAAGTAAATCTTAAAAAATTTGTGTGTGTGTTTGGTTATGCAAGAATATGTATTCCTGTTCATGTGGTGGTGGTGGTGGTGGTGGTGGTGTGAGTGTGTGTGTGTGTGTGTGTGTGTGTGGTTGCACACACAGTATTTGGAGACACAGTATAATGTAGGGAGAAAACCACAAACAATTACACGGTAGATATTTTGTAAAATATAATTTATCTTATGACAGCTAAAAGTACCTAATTTTAAAATTAAAAGTGATTACCTAGTTTTCTAATACACATACATGAGCATTATGTTTACATATTTTTCACATCATGGCTTATGAAACAAATGAATACATGCAGCATTATAACATATTAAACATGTCTAAAATGCACACAATTATTTTGAAAATATGATTCATATTTAAATGTTTAAAATGTAAATATGTCTAAATACAAACAAATGGATGTGCACAGAAGTACATGTAAAGTATATTTAGCAATTTGTAACAAATTTAATATTCAATGTCTAAGTATTTGTTGAGCAACAAAAATGCCCATACCGTGTAATTATTTGTGGCTTTCTCCCCACCTCATGCTGTTTTGGAAAGAGTGTTTCCTCATGGAGTCTATGTTGGCCTGGAATTCTCTAGGTAGCTCCAAGCTGTTTTAAAACTCAAGATCCTCCCAATTCAGCCTCCCAGACCATGGAATTAAAGACATATCCTACCATGCTCAGGTTATGGTTTTCCTGAGTCCTTTCAAAACAATATAGTGATATGAGAAACCAGACACTTATCTATGAAATGAAATTTGTGGTAATTTTTAATCCTAGAACCTTAGCAATGTTTTGGACTTATTGAAAATAATCCAAAAAAACAACAACAACAACAACAAAACCCATGTATAGTGAATAAGAAGTCACAATATATTAATGAAACATAGTCTATTATTAGTGACAAACTTTACCTACATTAATAATATTTTTCTGTATCTGAACAGCTTACATGAAAGTATGACCTGCAGTGTATTAGAAAACTTGATAACTTTATAAAAATCTCAGAATATATCTTCTGCAACCACCAACAGTTTGTTTTACAAGGACTACAGGGTTGCAAAACCACCACTCAACATTATGATTTTTATGATATCCGTTGAAAACACTTTTAGCTATATAGAGCATAGATTACAGTAAATCACATAAAATTTGAATCTTTCAACATCATTTTTTCTTGAAGAAGTACTTCTGTTAATTTAACTCCCATTTTTAGGAACTGAGCAATCTAATTTTAAATAAAATAATGCTAGAAATGATAATAGATAATTTGGTGGTACTGGGGATTGAACTCAGGGCCTTGAGCATACTAGGTGAGTATTTCACCAGTGAACTATAACTCCAGTCCCATAATGAATAATTTTAAAGATTCAAAAAAGTTTATAAGCAATTTGCTGTTTTTATGCTGGTAAATACATATTTCAGAAGTAAGTAAATGATCTAGCCAATGAAGGCATGGAGGTCATTTATGCAAGATCATGTTTATTCAGTATTTGGTAAGATTAAGAAAGTAAAACAATGAAGATATTATCAATTAAAAACCCATTAAGCCTGTGTGATCTGAAATGTCTTTTCATGTAACATATTTTGCTTGGTCTGCAAAGAAAACAGTTCATATTTCTCAGCATATGCAGACACAGTAAATTATTGATATTTCATAAGCAGTCAGAATCATGTTGTTCTACAACTAATATAATAAGCAGAAATTCTGAAACGTGGATTTTAATAACATGCACGGTTCCAGACACATGCAAACTTACCCTTCTAATCTCACATCTGGCAAACTTCGGTTAAGGGCAATCAAGTCACTGGCCATGAGGTTAAACTGATTGATTTTAAACAGTTCTTTCATTTTCTCTTGTTCATCTTTTGGAATCAGCACAGCCTTTCCCATTTCTCCTGGTCCTTCTTGGTTTCTTGAAATAACAGCTGTAAGACAGACAGAGGTACATACATACATACAAGCATATACATATCAATAAGCTCATGTCAAATTCTGCAGTATGTTATTTAATGCTATAATATTCTAAATTATCATTTACCTATCAAAAGATTTATGCTGTTGTTCAAATATAAATCTTTTGTATGAATGCGGAGCAACGTGGTACATATCCTTAATCCCAGAATATGGGAGGCAGAGGCAGGTGAATCTCTATGAAATCAAAGCCAGTTTAGTCTACACAAAGAGTTCCAGGCCAGCTGGGAACTACAGAGAGACCCTGTCTCAAAAACATTGTATGATCTAATTATTAATATTTGATATTTAAGCAACATAAAGCACCAAGTTGCAAGATTTTTGGGTTATTTTGTTCAATAAATTGACGAGCTAGATGAAGTGGAACAATAAGAAGACTGAATTGTCATTTGAAAACATGCCAAGAATAAGTTACTTTTTCACAGCCAATTTAAACTTCTGATATGTCAACATACCTATTATCATTACATCTTTATAAAAGAAAGGAAAATTGAGAATTCCTTCTCCCCACAGCAATTTGATTTCTTTGTCAAAGCATTTTGAAACTCGTTAAAACGAGTTTCATAGTGGTGACATATAATTTCAAATGTCAAGGTGGATAGGTTCTCCATATCTCCAAAACTGTTGGAAATTCACAACAGTTCTGAGGACTTCACAATTAATAGAACTTAGGATTTGACATGTAGGCTAAAATTCTTGCTATTTCTCCCAATTTATCAATTCACTGTTCTAAAACACATGTATAAATGTATATGTGTATTCATATATCTACATATATAAATATCTATGTGTTAAAACATAATAATGAAACAAGTTTCCAGCTGACATTAATGCACCTTCAACATTTTACTCAGCATTTGATAACATCATATTAAATTAGATTAAAGTGAAAATAAATGTGGTTTTGATCTTCACTCTTAGACTCTTCTGACATAGCATTGGTCTTAACACACTTATGTCACTAGATTAATTTCTACATAAGTAAAAGAGCAAATATTTGTACATGACCTACTTCCAAATATTAAAAAAATAAGAGCTTACAATGTGTGAAAATACCTTGTATGTTGTAAGATCTCTTACACACACACACACACACACACACACACACACACACACACGAATATGACACAAACTAGAAAAGAACATGACTTCTGGTGACATTCATAGTTATAAAACACCATCAATGGCATTACTGGTGTTGATAAAAATTAATCATACAGCTGGTTATTCTCTTATATATAACGTACTTTAAAAGTTATCATTTGCTATTATTTGGAACTTAAGTATCACCAGAGTTCCATGTGGCAAAGATTTTTTCCACAAGGCAGGGTTCTTAGAAGTGGTAGAAATTTTAAGAAGTGGGTTCTGAATGTCACTGGGGATTCTATTTTCAAACATATTGTGGGTACCATACTCTCCTTTCCTTTACCAGTCATTAGGAACGTACTTTAAAAGTTATCATTTGCTATTATTTGGAACTTAAGTATCACCAGAGTTCCATGTGGCAAAGATTTTTTCCACAAGGCAGGGTTCTTAGAAGTGGTAGAAATTTTAAGAAGTGGGTTCTGAATGTCACTGGGGATTCTATTTTCAAACATATTGTGGGTACCATACTCTCCTTTCCTTTACCAGTCATTAGGTAAACATTTGTTCTACCATACCCTCCAAAGGTGATGTGCCCCCTCAACCCAAAGCAAAAGGTGGCATGGATCATAGATTTAAACTGCCAAGCTAAGAGCAAAATAATACTTTCTCTATATGAATTCATTATCTCATATACTGTAACAGTGATGGGAAGTTGACTGACTTACCAGTGATATAATGTTTACAAAATTTTATTGATTATAAGAAGAAAAATTAGAAATGATGATAGGAGGGTTGGCAACATGTCTCAGCTGGGAATGGTGCCTGCTACCAAGCCTGATGACCTGAGTTTAATTTCTGCCACAAATGTACCATAATATGTATGCCTAAACACACACAAAATATAAAATAAATGAATGTAATAAAAAATTTTTAAAGAAATAATGACATGAATTATATCATTAAACATACATTGCTCTTTTTTGTTTTGTTTTGTTTTGTTTTTTGAGACAGGGTCTCCCTGTAGCCCCAGCTGGCCTGGAACTAGTTATGTAGACCAGGCTGGTCTTGAACTCACAGAGATTCGCCTTAGGCAAATTAAAGTTGTGTGCCACCATGCCCAGTTTATTTTGCTCATTTGAAGGCATTGAATTCTAACAGTTAATATCCACCACAGGAGGTGTAAAATTAGTGCCCCTATAATAAATTAGAGTGGTTGGAGTTGGCTTTTTAGAAGTTCTGATTTCACAGAAAATATTAAATGGATTCTCAAATTTTGGTTGAGTGGCCTTCAACTTCTGAAGTAACAACATCATCAGGTTGCAGAATTCCTAAAAATTCTCACTTGATTTTTACATATTCTTGAGTTGCAAACTAAATGCTATTTAAATAGACAAATTTTGTCTGAATAAGAATGATTTAATTTTGAAACAATAAAAAATCATTAAAAGATTTGTGCTAAAAAAATAACAATTTTTATAAGTTGAGAAAGAAATTCTGCATCAGCAACTTAATACAATGTGCTTGTAGGGGAGAAAAACCTCCTTTTATCTTCTTAGGTCCTGGATGTAGCCAAAGAATTAAATGAAATTAATACTAACAAGAGAAACACATATGCAATTCTTGTATATGTCCACTAAGGTATTCAGAAGGAAAAATGAAGACCAAAAGATTTGTGAAGCCACGAGCTTATAAAGTACTTCCTAAGTTGCCGTGGGTATGTGGCAGGACAAAGGAGTCAAAGGGCTTGGCTTAAGGGCAACAACTGCCAGACACTGACTAGGAAATACATTGGGACTCTCGTCAAAGATAAGAGTTATAAGCAAATTTGCACAGATTTTTTGCAGCATTGACTCCCATTTTCTGGTGGTAGAAATGTTCTTTAATAATGGCACAGGTTCGAGAGCATATTCTGATAGGCCATTTTCTGACCTAGTCTATGTAGATAATAGGGTGGAAGGTCAGACAGTGTTTCCTGCGTGTGCTATTTTTTAATTTCCTTCAGATCAAAATGCTCATTATGCTAAATTGGTATATTTTGAGGACACATGTTATAAACTTCATCAACCTATATAACTCTGAAAAATGACATCATATTGCAGAGAAAAAATATTGTGCCCAACATAATCTTTCCATGGTTAAAAATGGATAGGATTAAAATTTTGTTCTATGTAGGGAAGTTAAGGGGCTCAAATATCACATCTTAGACTGTGAACATCAACTTAAAGCACATGAACATCCTTGCTATGAGAACTGAGAGAGGCATTAGTGTTCTCTTCACCCCTTGTTCTATGTTCCACGAGTCTTAGGTTTAGAGGTTACATTGTAGATGTGCCACTTAGGCTTGAGCAATTCATAGACAATCTCCGTTGCAGAGTTGTGGAACTCGGTAATAATCTCCATCTGTTGCAAAAGATGTTTCTATGATGAATGGCAACTGGAATACTTGTCTGAAGCTCCCTCATGCAACAGAGGACCAGGAACACAAAGGTCACAAATAGCCAAAGCATAGAGAACAAGAGGCTGCCAAGTATGGGTCCTTGCTCAGGACTCCTATATTAAAAGCCACCCACACAGGACTTAGAGACCATTGCAGAAGATGGAGCAGAAAGATTGTAAGAGTCAGGGAGGTGGTGCATGACCATATGGAAATAGAGTCCTATAGCCTCCTGGGATCTTGCTAATATGAACCTACAGCAATGGTATCAGCATGCACAAGAATCATTCAAACTCAAGCAGAAAAAAAATCCCAGCATAAGGCTATGGAAATGGGCAGCAGGCCTTGATCTTAGTTGTAGAATCATTAGCAGCTGATTATTGCTGGGTGAAGAAGATCTGATCATCTTAAAAAGAGAGACTCTAGGTAGGCTGACTAGACCTCAGTGGATGAACTTGCACTGAGGGACATGTGGGGACACTAACTTGACATTATGTACCTTAACACAAATGACAGAATACATGAATTCCAGGGGGAGGGGCTATGGGAGAGTGTCAATGGGGAAGGGCGTATAAAAAGGATTAAGACTTTCTATATGAAATACACAAAAATTCAATAAGAAATTTACAGAAAAAAAGCACATGAACATATTTGCTTTTCTAACATTTTCAAAGGAATGAGCTTTCTTTTAGGATTATACACTAATAGGCACCTCAATCAGCAGGCTCATGCATCATGCTTTGCAGGGAAGGCAACTAAATCCACTCCAGTTTCTTCATCGTTGATGAAAGTATGCATAGGAATGTCCTGATCCCAAGACTGGTTTAGACTACAGAAAGTAATTAATAGATATGTGGTGTTATTTCCTTCCTCATTATGTCAAAATCATTTTAAATGATAATTAGTTCAATTTTAAATGAAAGTATAAATCTAGCAAAAATATCATACAGGAAGAGTCATTTTATGAAAATCTTCATTTTCTTTAACAGAATATACTTTTAAGAGATAAAGAATATTCATTTTAATCTTTGAATTCTCATAAAGGTGCATCAAAATGCAAACAAAGCAGCTGATCTATCAAAATAATCACATCATTATCTGCTCAGGTAATTTGCATTATGGATATTATCTTATTTCCAGAATTACACCACGTGTGATGACTTTCTGTATGAAAACAAGAGAGATAAATTTTACTATACCCATGAGAATGCATGAAGAAAAATGTGCGTGTTTTAAAGCAGTTGCTTTATTCTGTTGAAGAGCATATTGATATATGAAACATACCGACAAAAGAAAATATTAACCCCAAATCCAAGCATTATTGTATATATCACACTTTCAAAAGCAGTCTATCAAATCACTTTCCTACTGTCAAATCTACTGTTGTTAAATTCTGTGCACTTGAAATTTATATTCTCCTTAACAAGGCACACC